TTAACCTCATAATGATAGAGGACTATCCACGCTCTCTCCAGGGTGAGTCCTAGACTTTTTGCTGCGGTAGAATTTTTCATCGTATTTTATACGGTCCCCATTGGTACCCTTCCCGGCTTCTGTCGTCTCTTTGATTCATCACTATGACTACTGTCTTCATTCCAACACCCACCATGATCCCTAGGACTAAGAAAATGCCACATGTCCACCCACTTCAAGGCAGCAGTTCTCCTTTGTTTATTCAGACATGGCTATGACAGTTACTAGCTTTGAGACTGGAAACTATTTGGCAATAAAAGATTTCAATTACACATACTGCCTTAATTGGATCTCATACTAAAAGGGAGATTAAGACATTATTAAACATTAAAAAAAAAGTAGTGAAATTTTCTCCTAAGTACCAAATGTAGGGACAAGTCTGTTAGATGCAGGATTAAAGATTAGCTCCTGATCCCAGAGCTGACAAGGAAAACACTAAGTTTCTGGCTAGCAAATCTCTTTTCTGTACCATAGCAACATCAGCCCTCAATAGGCAGTATACTGTAATCTATCAAAAGAGGTAGACACCTGCTATACTTTTGAAAGAATTTTAAGCCGACTAGGCCTGCTTCTTACTTATTCCTGAAGTAAGCCTCTCTGAAAGCCACATAATCAACTGGGAGACAAATTAAGTACAAGCTTTTGGAACAGTAAAAGCATTTTAAAGGTTCATTTTTAGCAGACATCTAGGATGTGTCTGTTGAACTTCTTGTGAGTCTGAATCCCACTGATGTGTTTGAATTCCAAGATCTCCAAATTATCACTAAATTAAGTATGAGACTGGGCAAGTGGAGAGCCTAAAAATCAAATGCAGTTTATCACATAAGCAGATATACACATTAGGTTTTGTGTCTTATAAGAAAACATGGGAAATTTTTTTTTTTTTTGACAGGCAGAGTGGACAGTGAGAGAGAGAGAGACAGAGAGAAAGGTCTTCCTTTGCTGTTGGTTCACCCTCCAATGGCCGCCGCGGCAAGCGCACCGCGCTCATCTGATGGCAGGAGCCAGGTGCTTCTCCTGGTCTCCCATGGGGTGCAGGGCCCAAGCACTTGGGCCATCCTCCACTGCACTCCCTGGCCACAGCAGAGAGCTGGCCTGGAAGAGGGGCAACCGGGACAGAATCCGGCGCCCCGACTGGGACTAGAACCCGGTGTGCCGGCACCACAAGGTGGAGGATTAGCCTAGTGAGCCACGGCGCCGGCCGAACTATTTTTTTTTTTAAAAAGATTTATTTATTTATCTGAGAGAGAGAGTTACAGAGAGAAGGAGAGACAGAGAAAGAGGTCTTGCATCCGCTAGTTCACTCCCCAAATAGCTGTAATGGCCAGAGCTAAGCCAATCTGAAACCAGGAACCAAGAGTTTCTTCTGGGTCTCCCACATGGGTGCAGGGGCCTAAGCATTTTGGGCCATCTTCTACTGCTTTCCCAGGCCATTTAGAAGGGAGCTGGATTGGAAGTGGAGCTGCTGGGACTCAAAACTGGTGCCCACATGGGATGCCGGCGCCACAGAGATTTAACCTAATATGCCATAGCACTGGCCCTGAGAACTTTTAAAAATACAATAAATTAAGAACAGTTATCTCTGGGTTGTAGGATGACAAATGATTTTGATTTTCCTCTTTGTTTTATCTTTATTCACAATTTTAAAAATAATAATATTGGTTAATATAGGAATCTTCAACCTTTGTGTCACAGACAAGTTGTAGTTTCCTTGAAATCAGGGAGGGACACCGAGGGTTGCATATACAAGATATTGGAATATGGATGAAAGAGAGAGACCACAAGACAGGTAGATACACACACATAAAACCTGGGACTGACCGAGAATTTCTGCAAAGAGCAGGAACGGACGGCCAAGCAACCCTGAGAAGTACCTGGAATCGACAGGCCAGTAAATCCCAATAAGTTTATGGAGAATGAATACAAAGGGAGAAGGTGGCATTTGGTTTAAGGGAAAGTGTTTCTGAAATAGGAAAAAGAGATTGCATAAGAAACGTAATTTATGGTGACTGATGCTGACTGGCTGTTATGGGAAAGCTGTCAATAGTTTTGACTAAAAGAGATGAATACACTTTTAAGGAAGGGTTTGAAATCCAGTTATAAAATAACCTAACCTAATTTTGGTCCATATTTTTCCTTTCTAGATTTTTTTGATGAGAGATTTAATAAAAACAGAATAATTGACATAAGGCTACAAACATATTTATCAAAAGTCTTAAAAACAAGTGTTTCAGGACCAAGCACTGTGGCGTAGTAGGTTAAGCCTCCACCTGCAGTGCCAGCATCTTATTTGGGTCCTGGTTCGAGTCCCAGCTGCTCCATTTTCTGATCTAGCTCCTTGCTGACAGCCTGGGAAAGCAATGGAGTATGGTCCAAGTGCTTGGGCCCTGCTACCATGTGGGAGACCCCGAGGAAGTTCCTGGCTCCTGGCTTTGGACTGGCTCAGCTCCAGCCACTGTGGTCATTTGGAGAGTGAACCAGCAGATGGAAGACTTCTCTCTGCTTCTGACTGTGCTTCTCAAATAAATAAACAAAATTGTTAAAAAAAAAAAAAAAAGGAATAAGTTGTTTCAAGCCCCAATTAACAAATTCTTAAAAAAAAAAAGTCTTTTGAGCCCAACTATTCCTCTTCTAGGAATTTGTCTTAAGAACTAAACAAAGTATGTGCAGAAGTAAAGAAATTCAATGTTCCTTTAAATGTGGATTACAATCACCAAAAATGTAAACAAGTATTAAATGATAGGTGATTGTTTAAATAGGTATGAGTGCATTCATACAATTTAATATTTTATAAACATTAACAATGATGTTAAAGAATTATATTTAAGAGGCTGTCGGGCTGGCGCTGTGGCTAATAGGCTAATCCTCCGCCTTGTGGCACCAGCACACAGGGTTCTAGTCCCGGTTGGGGCGCCGGATTCTGTCCCGGTTGCCCCTCTTCCAGGCCAGCTCTCTGCTGTGGCCAGGGAGTGCAGTGGAGAATGGCCCAGGTGCTTGGGCCCTGCACCCCATGGGAGACCAGGAGAAGCACCTGGCTCCTGCCTTCGGATCAGCGCAGTGCACTGGCCCAGCGCGCCGGCCGCGGCGGCCATTGGAGGGTGAACCAATGGCAAAAAGGAAGACCTTTCTCTCTGTCTCTCTCTCTCGCTATCCACTCTGCCTGTCAAAAAAAAAAAAAAAAAGAATAAAAGTGAGGTCATAAAGAATAGTAGGTCTGTGGCACCCAGCTGAAGCTATGGCTTGTGATCCCATATTAGACAGAGTCCTGGTTTGAGTCCCAGCAGCTTCACTTCAATCCAGCTTCCTGTTACTATCAGAAGGCAGTAGATGATGTCCCAAGTACTGGGGTCCCTGCCACCCGTGTGGGAGATCTGGATGGAATTCCTAGCTCCAGGCTTTGGCCTGGCCCAGCTCTGGCTGTTGTGGCCATTTGGGGAGAGAACCAGAGGATGGAAGATCTCTCTGTGCACATGAGTGCTATCTCTCTCTTTTGCCTTGTCTTTCTCTCTCTGGCTCTCTTTCTCTCTCCCTCTTTGTTACTCTGCCTTTCAAATTAATAAACAAATACAACTTTTTTAAAAAAAGAACACCAGGGCCATGTGTTCTCTTTACTTCAAAAGCATAGCACTTGAATTGTAATATATGAATCTGTTATATACAGAATGCTGACATTTAAAAACTTACTTTTTAAAAAGTTGTGGGATATAGAAATAACGTCTTTCAAGCTATTTAATTTCCTCAAAATGTGTGTTCTATGCCTTGACTACAATAAAGTAATTCCTTTTCATTGCAACCTCTGTAGCCTTGTTATCTTCAGGGGCATTGCCATGTGCCCTCTGGTTTTGAATTAGGCTAGTGGCCATCAGACTTTTTTGGTGGTGTATAAAAATATATAAACATCATCCACATGATTTACTTATAAATTATATATCTGTACAACTATATTAAAATATCAAATGCATCTGAAAAATGGATGAAAGTAGAAATTTTACAGGGTGAAATAAAATAAACAGAAGCTCTAATATTTTATTCTTATGGCCCCATGAATTTTCTTGTATGTATTCTACTTTGGACACCACTAGACCAGGTGACTACAACAGATGGGATCTCCATCATGCAAAGGAACCTCATCCCTTTTCTTTTTGTCCCGGCCCACCCCCGCCTTCTATGTAGGGAGCAGAAAGAAGGCCTTTACCACCTGCTGGTGCCTTGATCTTGGACTCCTCATGCCCAGCAACTCAGAGTGTGACTTCATTTGGAGACAGGGTTTTAGAGCAGTGACTAAGCTAAAACAAGGTCTTTGGGATGGGCCCTAAGCCAATATGACTGCTATGCTCATAAACAGAGGTTAGGACACAGACCCATGCAGGGGGTGACTGTGTGAAGACAGAGGGGGAAGGCAGCCAACTACAAGCCAATGAGAGGGGCCTCAGAAGAAATCAGCCCTGCTGCACCTGGATCCAAGAACATGACATTGCTTTGGCCTCCTTATTTTTTTTTTTTTATGATTTATTTATTTATTTATTTATTTACTTGAAAGGAAGAGTGACACAGAGAAAAGAGAGAGATCAATCTTCCATCTGCTGGTCTACTTCACAAATGGCCTCAATGGCTAGGGCTGGTCCAGGTTGAAGCTAGGTACTGGAAGCTCCATTCAGGTCTCCTACATGGGTGGCAGGGGCCCAAGGAGTTGGGCCATTTTCTACTGCCTTACTAGGCACATTAGCAGGGAGCTAGATTGGAAGTGGAGCAGACTGGACTCAAACAAGTGCCTATATGAGATGCTGGCATTGTAGACAGTAGCCCAACCACTATGCCACAATGCTAGTCCCTGGCCTACTTCTTTAATTTACCTACATGCAGGTAAAAAATTTTCTAGTTACTTGTCACAGAAGTAATGGCAGCAGTGGTGATGGTGTGATCATCCAAGAAATATCTCCCTAGTCCACACTGTGGCTTACCTTGCTGCTGTAATTTGTAATCAGTGGAATATGCCTTCCCAATGATGTTCCACACAGGCCTCAAGCAACCAAAGAGTCCTTCAAGAAAGCCACCACTGCCACTGCCCGACCTGCTGAACTGAATCTTGACATCTTCTGTTCCGCTCGTGCTCTCTCCATCCACAGTGTGGCCATTCCCCTGAGACACAGCCACGTCTGGGTCATCTTGTTCCCTCAGCTGAAGAACACTGTTCTCAAACTGGTCCCTGGAATCCTCGCTTATGCTGGTCAACACAGCTGCAGTGACGGGGCTGCTCACGCTCTCCATGAGCTCTGTTTGCACCACCCCCTTTTCCTGCTGGTCCTCGAGCAGCTTGGGTGCAGAGTGGTTCCCCATGGCTGTGAGCTCATCTTGTAATCCACTGAAGGTTTTGTTTTCACTCAAGGATAGATGTGGAGAAGAGGAGCAGCTCAGGTGCTCCTGAGGGCTGGCCATCGTGCCATGAGTGTGACCGAGGGCCTGAGATGACACTCAGATTTGTAGAAAACAGTTCTGATGTAAGAGAGGGCTCCAAAACCTGAGGAATACAGGGGGAAGACATGAGATCGTCCTTTTCTTTAGATCCACACTATTATACTTCTGTTTATAAAATAAAGGCGATGAAACAATGAGGATTAGTTAAACTGGTTTATTCCACATGATGGAATTCTGTGCAGCAGTGAAAAATTATGTTGTATGAGAGTAGTTACTAGCATCAGAAAACATTCATGACATATTCATATTTAAAAGGTAAGTTATAACAATATATGGAACATTAAAAAATTTTTAAATACACACAAACACACTATAAAAGAAAAAAGTCTAGAAGGATGCAGGCAAAGAATTAACAACATTTAACTTTAGGTGCTAGATTTGGGAGCGATTTATATGGTTGTGATTTTCAAGGTATTCCATGCATTTTATATCATATCCGTTATACTTTTTTTTAAGCACAGTTGTTCCTCTTCATTCTTTTTTTTTATGAATTATTTATTTATTTTAAAGGCAGAGTTACAGAGAGGCAGAGGCAGAGAGAGCTGTCAGTTTACTCCCTAAATGGCCACAAAGGCTGGAACTAGGTCAATCCAAAGCCAGGAGCCTGGAGCTTCCTCTGGGTCTCCCACGTTGGGTGCCGGGGCCTAAGGACTTGGGCCATCCTCCACTGTTTTCCCAGGCACATCAGCAGGGAGCTGGCTCAGAAGAGGAGCAGCCGGGACTCAAACCAGTGCCCATATGAGATGCCAGCCCTGCAGATTGCGGCTTTACCCACTTTGCCACAGGGCAGGCCCCATCTATCACACTTTTAATCAGAAAAAAATTATTTCTCTTTCCAGAAGCAAAATGAAGTTGTTGTGATATAATATACATATTTTTATTAGAAGTCACATCTTGTATTATTTTAAGTCGCTACTAATCTTTTCTCTTGGTTTTAATGTTTTATCCATTGTTTCACTTTTTTTTTTTTTTTTTTTTGACAGGCAGAGTGGACAGTGAGAGAGAGAGAGACGGACGGAGAGAAAGGTCTTCCTTTTCTCCGCTGGTTCACCCCCCAATGGCTGCTGCGGCTGGCGCACCATGCTGATTCGAAGCCAGGAGCCTGGTGCTTCCCATGCGGGTGCAGGGCCCAAGCACTTGGACCATCCTCCACTGCCTTCCCGGGCCACAGCAGAGAGCTGGACTGGAAGAGGAGTGACCGGGACAGAATCCAGCGCCCCAACCGGGACTAGAACCCAGTGTGCTGGCACCACAGGTGGAGGATTAGCCTAGTGAGCCACAGCGCTGGCCAATTGTTTCACTTTCTAAAGCATTCATTAACTCCTGTAGATAATTGTCTTGTATATATCACAAGACAAACTCCTGAGTTGCAGAATTTGTTGTTATTGCACTGCACCAACTCTGGGCAAAACAACAAAGCAACAGCTCTTTAAGTTTGTTCTTTTTTTTTTTTTTTTTAGAATTTATTTATTTTTATTTGAAAGAGTGACTGAGACACACACACAAAGAGAGAGAAAGAGAAAGAGAGATATCTGTCATCTACTAGTTCATGACTCAAAATGCTTTCAACAGCTGGGGCTAGGCCAAGACAAAGCCAGAAGCCAGGAACTCCGTGTGGGTGGCACAAACCCGGGAGGTACCTGAGCCATCATCTACTGCTTTTCAGGAAGCGCAGAGTAGCTGGAACTTGAATCGGACACTTTGATATGGGACGCAGGCATCCCAAGTAGTAGTTAAATCCACTGTGCACAACACCCACCCATGTTTGTCCTTTGCTTCTGATCTATTACCACTATTTCCTTGGGGCCACCTAATCTCTGAAAATAAAGCTCATCTTGTAGTTCTGAGATTCACCAGTTCATGCAAAGTCAATTTTAAGTTCATTCAAGGTGTGTTATTAGGTATTTACTTTCTTTGCAAATCCCTATTTAATAATCCTTCTTTCCTAAACTCTGTATTAAGCAGAGTGTGTTAAAGCCTGGTTATAAAGATGACCTCACTTTATCCAGCTGAAAAGCCCATGAGAGTATTTCAGGCATAGAAAGCCAAGACACTCTGGCAAAAAAAAAACAAAAAAAAACACTAAATGAAAGATCTCCATGAGTGAGATCCCAGTGGAAAGAACAGGTCTTCAAAGAAGGAAATACCTTTCTCTGAAGGGAGGAGAGAACTTCCACTTTGACTATGACCTTGTCTAAATATGATCAGAGTTGGTGAACTCAAAAGGCTTCCATAGCCTTGGCAATTCATGACACGAGCCTAGGGTGATTACTGATGCCATAAACAAGAGTGTCAATTTGTTAAGTCAACAACAGGAGTCACTGTGCACTTATTCCTCATGTAGGATCTCTGTCCTTAATGTGCTGTACATTGTGATTTAATGATGTAACTAGTACTCAAACAGTATTTTTCACTTTGTGTTTCTGCGTGGGTGCAAACTGTTGAAATCTTTACTTAATATATACTAAACTGATCTGTATATAAAGAGAATTGAAAATGAATCTTGATGTGAATGGAAGGGGAGAAGGAGCAGGAAATGAGAGGGTTGCAGGTGGGAGGGGGAAAGCCATTGTAATCCATAAGCTGTACTTTGGAAATTTATATTCATTAAATAAAAGTTAATAAAAAAAATGACCTCACTTTGCAAAGGGGGCAAAAGACAGACTGACAAAGGCTGACACCTCAGTACTTATCATGAGTCAAATAAGAGCTCTGAGAGCACAGAAGATGGAGGGGTCATTTCAAGGACAGATGCTACAAGATGATCACTTCTGCTCCATCTGAAGGCAGGACAGGAATGCACCTGGCAAGTGGGAAAGGCAGGAGTGAAACAAGGAGAGGTGTGAGGAGGAACGCATGCATGATGGCCTGCAGGGATGGAAGACTGTGGAACGGGTGAGAAGTCCAAAGTGGCTGGAATGTGCGTTATATGTATGTACACAGAAAGATATGAATGGATACACAGGGGAGAGGTTGTAAGGAGCTTTGGATGTTAGCCTAATAGGTTTGGATTTTAACCTGAAGGTGATGATGAGCCGCAGGTTCCTATGAGTATATTGGAGATGATGGGTAAAAATATACCCCCCATTTTATTATTTTCTTATCTTTATTCCTGAGAACCAAATGTTAACTCTTGTTTATTTGGCCATATCCTATTCATAACTTGTTTATCCTATCCTCTGAACTCTCTCATTCTTTTTTTTTTTTTTTAAAGATTTATTTGAAAGTCAGTTACACAGAGAGAGAAGGAGAGGCAGAGAGAGAGGTCTTCCATCGCCTGGTTCACTTTCCAAATGGCTGCAGTAGCTGGAGCTGAGCTGATCCAAAGCCAGGAGCCAGGAGCTTCTTCTGGGTCTCCCATGTGGGTGCAGGGGCCCAAGGACTTGGGCCATTTTCTACTGACTACCCAGGCCATAGCAGAGTTGGATCGTAAGTAGAGTAGCCGGGACCCGAACCTGCGCACATGTGTTGCTGGCACTGCAGGCGGTGGCTTTACCCGCTACGCCACAGCGCCGGCCCCTCTAATTCATTCTTTCAAGAATTTCTGAGCTCCTATTATATGCTATATAATACATTAAGCACTAATGAGTGGCACATGGGTTCTCTCCCTTTAAGAACTTACAGGCCGGCGCCACAGCTCACTAGGCTAATCCTCCACCTGCGTTGCCGGCACTCTGGGTTCTAGTCCCGATTGGGGCACCGGATTCTGTCCCGGTTGCTCCTCTTCCAGTCCAGCTCTCTGCTGTGGCCCGGGAAGGCAGTGGAGGATGGCCCAAGTCCTTGCGCCCTGTACCCACATGGAAGACCAGGAGGAAGCACCTGGCTCCTGGCTTCGGATCGGTGCAGTGCGCTGGCCGTGGTGGCCATTTAGGGGGTGAACCACTGGAAGAAAGACCTTTTGCTCTGTCTCTCTCTCTCTCACTAACTCTACCTGTCAAAAAAACAAAAAGAATTTATAATCTAGAAGGAAAGACCAACAGATAATAGCTACATGGTTGGAAATGATATAAAGACATTCACAGGGTGCTATGGGGGTTCTGAAAAATAAATGTGAAATATGGCTAGAGATGTCATAAAAGTTTTGAGTTGCATCTTAAAGAGTGAATTAGGGGCCGGTGCTGCGGCTCAATAGGCTAATCCTCCACCTGCGGCGCTGGCACACCGGGTTCTAGTCCCAGTTGGGGCGCAGGATTCTGTCCCGGTTGCCCCTCCTCCAGGCCAGCTCTCTGCTGTGGCCCGGCAGTGCAGTGGAGGATGGCCCAAGTTCTTGGGCCCTGCACCCGCATGTGAGACCAGGAGAAACACCTGGCTCCTGGCTACGGATCAGCGTGGTACGCCGGCCACAGCGGCCATTGTGGGGTGAACCAACGGAAAAAGGAAGACCTTTCTTTCTGTCTCTCTCTCTCACTGTCCACTCTGCCTGTCAAAAAAAAATAATAATAAATAAAATAAAAAAAAAATAAAAAAAGAAGAGTGAATTAGGGGCTACTAGGAAAGAAAGACTGAGCAGACAAGTTAGTACTGCAGAGAAGCCCAAGACGGCTCTAAGAAAAGGTAGGCAAAAGTTGAATTTTAGTGGACCCGAATGACAAGCTAAACCTTTTGGATTTTATCCTCTAGACAACAATGGTTACTAAGGACTTTTCAGTAATTTGGTTGCATTTTAATTTAAAATCACATCCACACAAGTAGAGGTTAGATTGAGAGGGAAAACATGAAGGTGCAGTGAGAAGGAAGAGTTCAAGTAAGAAAAGATCAGGGCCTGGGCCGGGGCAGTAGCAATGACAATGCAGCACATGGGATAGATTTAAGAGACAGAATGGGTAAGCTCTAGAAATAGACAGCATATGTGGTGGTGAGGAAAAGAAAAGAAAAAGAAAAAAAGGGAAGGAAGGAAGGGAGGGAGGGAGGGAGAGAGGGAGGGAAGAAAGGAAGGCAGGTAGGTTTTCTAGATAACTTACTTAAGAAACTGGATCTTGGGGCCAGCGCTGTGGCACAGTGGGTTAAAGCCCTGGCCTGAAGAGCTGGCATCCCATATGGGCG